CCTTCGACATCCACTTCGAAAGATGAAGCCTCGATCTCCGATTCTGGTGGGATAAATCCACCGGTTTGCAATTCCTCAATACGATTTGCCTCAATCTCTTCTTGCCGCTGTTGTTCCATTTCCGCTTCCTATGCATATCAAGTTCCCGAAAGTAAGTAGACAAGTAACTGTAGCATCTCTCCTCTCACCTGTTCCTCAATGTAGACCGTATAATCCTCCGGATGCTTGTCTCTTAAGTGCCGCTCGTAGATGTTCCTTTCGATAAAACGGTTCTTGCAGCGCTTGCAGCGAATCATCTTTGAACGCATTAACTTGCGAACCTGAAGGAAGTGCCATTTACAACTCGATCTTTCTGCAGATGCATTACAGTTCGCTCACTAGGCAGGCCAAAAGATAAATGCCTTGTTTTACTTTAGTAAGCCAACCGTAAGATTCAAAGCTGCTTATGTTTGCACTGTAGATCTGCGGAAAGCATTAATTTCGGCAACTTTTGAGCGCTAGTCTGGTTCAGGAGGGGGAAGCATTTCGCAAACCTGTAAACAATACCTGTCTCGTTTCCTATACTGAAGTAGAGCGGTCATATTCTGGCAGCACTTTGATCCAACGTTTTAAGCGTCCACCAGCGTCTCGCGATAATCGATATCTATACTTTCTCATGCGCTCAACGCTACATCGATACATATACGTTCCCACTAAAAAAAAACGCTGGCGGACTCTCAAATTGCTGGATCGATACCTACAGTTTTCTAGTCGCTCAGAAATCGCATAAAACCCTCAAAGCAATCAAAACGCTGACAGTCGCTCAGGACGCTGCCGCAAAGTATGAACACTCTTACACGGCGAGGTTGACTGCTACTGAGACCAGACGGCTATGAGCTTCTCTAAACCCAGTTTCTCATGTTTTTTTGTATCTTCCAGTACTGAATACCATACGGTATCGGTATTCTGAATATCATACAAGGTATTCAGTTTTACTGTTGCAGCACTAAATACCTTTGATGGTAGTCAGTGTTGGTACGTGCCAAAAAACGAGTCAACCGGACCCGAATTTGGCCCAGGCCTCACCGATAAGGAGCTCTAGGATGGATTAATAAAACCCCTCGCGCGAAAAATGAACTTCGCACCATCTCGCACCTCTCCCATGTTACCTTGTTTAGTTCAAGTCATTGTGACCCTACAAGTAATGAGTTTTCTGTAACTACACAAGCTGTCCATATTCACCGACTGGCAAAGAAAAGCATTAGTGTCCGATGATCATGGATTAGTTCTCGCAGATTGTTTGGAGTAACAGGGTGCACTGCAGCCAACAGCTCCCCGTATCGCCAGTATATGAAATAGAACCCTACATAATCTCCGGTGAAGGATGGTAGATGATCGAAATAGCCTTTTGGAAAGAAATTTATATCGAGTAATGCGACCCTGTTACTC